TTCAGTGCACCCCACGACGCGAAGAAACAACGTCTCCGTCACACAGTGCCGTCGCATTGTGGCGTCGCCTCTTTTGTCATTACTTTTACGCTGTGTTGAATGCGTTGGATTGTGGCGTCGTGGCGTCATGTAGTCGGGCGTCGCATCGTGCCGTCGCGTACCTTGTATTGGTTCTTGATGCCATCGGGCAATGCTGGCACGTCTTGCCATCGTATTGTGATGTTATGACGTCGCGTCTTGCCATCGTAGAGTCGCATCGTGCCGTCGCGTTGCGTTAGGCCGTTGCATCCCGCTGCAGTCGTACTGTTACGTCCTGAAATGGTATGGAACTTAACTTAGGACGCCCCTTATTTCCACCAGTAAACAGGCAACTGCACGACGCAACAGGTCCACGGCACGCTTTGTGGGTTTGTCACGTGAGTGTTATGGCGAAGGATTACTGACAAGAGAAAAACCAAAAAAACTGGTTAATGTTAAAAATTAGATTTTTCTTAATCATGACGTCGCTATTCTGTGGGATATTTCAATTTTTTCAATCTGGTTTCATGACCTAAGGCATGTTTCTCTTAATCCTATTAACACCAACTTGTGTACTTTGGAGAAGTTTTTTACGCCGAAAAATCTGGTCTTCTGACGTGGGTCATGTTTTGACTTATACCCAGCAAGAAATCAGACCTAGGGGTACCCCCCAACATGTCCAATCCCTATACACATTCCAGACTATTATTACTTAACACATCCCCCCCAAGATGTCTGAAAGGAATTCCCCAGATTCCTGCGAGACAATGACCAACACAAAGTGGGGGGGGGGTTATCACCGTCTCATACCTTGCTGCATATGTTTTGACTTAGTAAAAATCACCCTAACCCCCTATCAACCCACCAGGCGCATTGACAGGTATAAATGGGTATTGCGTAATCACGCATTTTTCGCCCCTTTAACCCCAATTTTTGTCCAAAAACCGCTGCAGATTGTCTGTAACACTGCTTATTGTTAGAACTGTAGAAAAAGAAAGGCATTTTGAGGGGTTTATGTTGCTGTCTCTCGAGAAGTGTGCTATACTTCACCATGACCGCGAACCACAGAAAGAAAACAATAGCTGCTTCGGCAGTGTAGCCAATGTAGCTCAAAATGTTGATTTCTTAACCGCCGCTTGTGTAACGCATTGAGCCATTTGCAGCAAGATACGGGACGGAGAGACCCCCCCCCCGCCTCTGTGTTGGTCATTGTTTGATCGGAATCTCAGGAATTCTT